GAGGCCAAGTTGCGAGGCCCTGGCAAAGGCAAGGAACTTATCCCTCCTCCTTCGTTCCAGAAGAGTTTGTTTGAGGTAGCGAACATCACTGGAGCGAAGCGGTTCCTCAACGCAACTCTTCCTGAGGTGGATAGGAGGTAGGCAAGGGAAAAGGCGGTAAGCCAATTGGGGGCTCACGTTGTGAGGCACACCCTGGAGGTATGTAAAGAAGTTATAGTTTATTTATTTATTTATTTATTTATTATTATTATTTTTGACTTCTGTGTTTGAGTTCTGACTTCTGCTTGCTTTGTAGAGTGCAAGCTGGGTAAACGCTCTGGCATAGGAGTATGCGGAGAGCGTGAAAGACTGTGCCAACTTGCAAAGGCAGTGTGAGGAACTGCAAAAGGAGAAGGAGGAGCTGCAGAAGAAAAACAAAGAGATACAGAGGAAATTGGATGAAGTTGTGCCAACAGTAATCGAGCTCCAAAACGACAGAGACACCTTGAGCACAAGACTTGTCTTCGAAAAGTGTAAAAGGAAGATTTGCGAAGACAAGCTTGAGGCTTAAGACAAATACATTAAGAATATGAACAAAGGAGTGGTGAAGCTGAAGAAGAATGTGAATCTGCTGGTTCACAACGTAATGGAGGAGCATATTGACAACTTCCTCAACTCCAGCACCTTTGAGAGCATCATCAACCTCTATCGGCTGTTGACCGCAATTTTGGCATTCACCGACTGTAGAAAGAAGGTAAAGGCTCAGTATCCCGAAGTGGACGTAACAATGGCCACCTTCAGCGATCAAGAAGAAGGGGTGGAGGAGGACGGTGAAAGTCTGTTTGTTGACTTTCGACCTTTGATCAAGCTGAGGTGGGAGCGTGACGCAGAGGGACGCACTATCTTCCCTCCATCTTTTGATGTTGAGCTTGTGGCGGTGGAGGAAGAGGAAGAAGTACGAGATGCTGGAGTTGAGAACCAGGCAGACCCGGTTGAAGTCCAACCTTCCGTAGTTCATCCAGTTTCCTTAGATGAAGTGCAGTTAGCTCCTCCTGAAGCAGAAGTGCCACCTCTACCAGCTGGGGATGAGCCACCTTA